CAGTAGAGTAGATGAAGCTGAGAATCAAATCAGTGATTTGGAATAAAAGGAAGAAAAAAACAAACAAAAGCAAATCTGCCCAAACCAGATGATCAGTTGATTAAAGCGTCATCCCATTCACCAGAAGTTTGAAGGTTTGATTTCCAATCAGGAAACATACCTAGGTTGCAGTTTGATCCCTGGTTCAAGTGCATTCAGGAGACAACTGATTGACATTTCTCTTTCTTTCTCCCTCTTTCTTCTTCTCTAAGTATATTCTCTTTTGGGAGGTAGGGGAATAAAATGAAAAAGAATTCAAATAAATGAAGGTAGAAACCTCTGGGACAATTTCAAGTGTACCAACATTCACATTATGGGGATGCTAGAAAGGGAAAAGAGCAAAAAGTTGAAAATTTATTTGAAAAAATAATTACAGCTTCTCTAAACTGGTGGAGGAAATAGACATATAAGTCCAGGAGGAACATATCGCCCCAATCCAGATGAACCCAAAGCGGCCCACACCAAGACCTATTATAATTAAAATGCAAAACGTTAAAGACAAAGAAAAAAAATCTGAAAAGCAAAAAGAGAAAAGCAGTTAGTTACCTACAACGGGGCTTCCATTAGGTTGTCAGTTGATTTCTCAACAAAAACTTTTCAGGCCAGAAAGGAGTAGCAAAAATACTTAAAGTGATGAAAAGCAGGGATCTATAACCAAGATTGCTCTACCCAGCAAAGCTATAATTTAGAATTGAAGGACATATAAAGAGCTTCCCAGACAAAAAATATGAAAGTAGTCCATCACCACCAAACCAGTATTACATGAAATGTTAAAGGGTTTTCTTTAAGAAGAAAAAAACAAGAATAATAAAATTACAATGATACATATCCATCAACAATTGAATCTAAAAAAAATATAAGTGAACAAGCAGAACAGAAACAGGCTTATAGATACAGAGAACATCTTGATGGCTGCGAGGTGAGAGGGAAGTTGAGTGAATGGGTGAAAAAGGTGAAGGGATTAAGAAATACAAATTAGTTGTTACAGAATAGTCATAGAGATGTAAAGTACAGCATAGGGAATCTATATATATAAAAATAAGGAATATGTTAATTAGCCTGGATATGCTAATTAGTCACTAACAGTCAGGCACTTAATAGTCACGACCAGTCAGGAGCGGCCCAGGAGCAGCCCAGGAGCGGCCCCCTGCTGGAGTGGCCACCAGTGCGCAGGCCCGCAGCACCACCCAGCTGGGAGTTGCGAGCGAGCATGCTGCACCACCTATCCTGGGAGCTACTCGGTGGGAGTGGCCACTAGTGGGGGCACATGCAGGCCCGCTGCGACACCCATCCTGGAGGCCTGCTGGCTGGGGGTCATGAGCAGGCCTGTGGCATCCCCTCCTGTGCTGAGGTGGAGTAGCCCCCAGAGGAAGTGGCCACCAGCTGCCTACCTGTGTGGCACAGCCTGTGTGTGTCCCTGTCCAATGCCGAGGTGAAGCTGCCTGCATCCCTGGCCAGGGACGTGACACTGCCTGCCTGTGTCCCTGACCTCAAACATGGTGCTGCCTGTGTGCATCCCCGCCCTGTGCTAGGTGAACCTGTCTGTCTGTGTCCCTGGTCAGGGACATGACACTTCCAGGGTAGGGAATCTATATATATAAAAATAAGGAATATGTTAATTAGCCTGGATATGCTAATTAGTCACTAACAGTCAGGCACTTAATAGTCACGACCAGTCAGGAGCGGCCCAGGAGCAGCCCAGGAGCGGCCCCCTGCTGGAGTGGCCACCCAGCTGGGAGTTGCGAGCGAGCATGCTGCACCACCTATCCTGGGAGCTACTCGGTGGGAGTGGCCACTAGTGGGGGCACATGCAGGCCCGCTGCGACACCCATCCTGGAGGCCTGCTGGCTGGGGGTCATGAGCAGGCCTGTGGCATCCCCTCCTGTGCTGAGGTGGAGTAGCCCCCAGAGGAAGTGGCCACCAGCTGCCTACCTGTGTGGCACAGCCTGTGTGTGTCCCTGTCCAATGCCGAGGTGAAGCTGCCTGCATCCCTGGCCAGGGACGTGACACTGCCTGCCTGTGTCCCTGACCTCAAACATGGTGCTGCCTGTGTGCATCCCCGCCCTGTGCTAGGTGAACCTGTCTGTCTGTGTCCCTGGTCAGGGACATGACACTTCCAGGGTGTGTTCCCCTGGGTCTTGCCCAGTGGGGGTGGGGCTTGCCGAGTCTGGGGTTCAAGTGATTTTGAGGGGTGCACAGGTGCACGGGGTCTTGACTCTGGCTCCCACAGTGCACCCAACACTCTGACAGAAGGGAGGAGGGATCCTGGTAACCACACCCAGGACCCACACAGCAGGGCAGCAGGAACCCCATCCCTTTGCAGAACTGGCCATTGGTTAGCTTGCCTTCAGCAGCCTGATAGCCAGGAATCCCATTTACCCACACACAGGACACACACTGCAAGGTGGTGGGAGCCCCATCCTTTCCAGATTAGGCCATTGGTCAGCTTGCTGTCAGTGGCCTGATAGCCAGGAATCCCATTCACCTGCACCAGGACCCAGATGGGTTGTTATTGTTTATTTATTAATAAATTTATAAATTACTTTCATATACATTTTTCTAATTTTCTTTAATCTTTTATTATAGAGAAAGGGCAAATAGTGATATTAAAATATTTTTAATGTGCATGAAATTGTGCACTGGGCCACTAATATCCTATATAATAAAGAGGTAATATGCAAATTGACTGTCATGCCCTTGCACAAGATGGCCACCACCATGTGGTCAAATATGGCCGCCCACGTGTGGTCACAAGATGGCCATCACAAGAGGGCTGGCAGGGGAGGACAGTTGGGGTAGGGCCAAGCCTTGCAGGGGAGGGCAGTTGGGGGTGACTGATCTGCAGGGAAAGGCAGATGGGGGCGACTGGGCTGGAAGGAGAGCAGTTAGGTGTTGATCAGGCTGGCAGGGGAGTGGTTAGGAGGTGATCAGGCTGGCAGACAGAAGCGGTTAGGGGCAATCAGGCAGGCAGGCAGGCGAGTATTTGGGAGCCAGCAGTCCTGGATTGTGAGAGGGATGTCCAACTGCTGGTTTAGGCCAGATTCCCCAAGGGTTCCCAGATTGGAGAAGGTGCAGGCTGGGCTGAGGGAAACTCCTCCCCTAGTGAATGAATTTTGTGCACTTGGCCTCTAGTCATCAATAATATCCTAATAACTATGTATGGTGTCAGATGGGTATGAGATTTATCAGGATGACCACTTAGCAAGTTATTTAATGTCTAATTGCTGGGATGTATACTTAAAACTAGTATAATATTGTATGTCAACTGTAATTAAAAAAATTTAAAAATGATTTAAAAACTTATGAATTGTTAAAAAATAGCTAATTAGTTCAATCTTTCATGAAAACAGAAATACAAATACTCCTTAATTTACATGAGTTACCTCCTGATAAATAATGCAAATTGAAACCATTATAAGTTGAAAATGCATTTTACACTTAACCTTCTGAACACAATAGCTTAGCCTAGCCTACTTTAAATGTGCTCAGAACATTTACATTAGTCTACAGTTGGGCAATTATCTTGTTTCACCTCAAGAGTAATTGCCTTCCTCTTTTTCTTCTCACCAAAAATGGGAAACACAGATGGGCATTTTGGAGATAAGATGAGATGCAAAAACACAAATCAAAGTATCAAAAAATTGCTGACAACACAGGGCACAGTAGAGTAGTGGTTGTTTACCCTGGTGATCACATGGCTGACTTGGAGTTGCAGCTCATCATTGCTACCCAGCATCACAAAAGAGTATCATACTGCATATCTCTAGCCCAG